ACTCAATTATCCGTCTCTATCTTTGTCTGCAATTCAATTCCATTGTTGCCGTCACTTCTTGGTGGTCTTATATACAAAAATACCGCACATCTAGTAAACAATCGAGCATTCACGAACTTTCGAAAATATCATGACGTGTTACTAGGGTCACGTGACTTCCGCTGTCGTAACAATATTAAGCATTTCAAGCAATACTGTTAAAGAAAGGTAATAACAAAGTATACCTTACTTACAGAACACACAAACACTATCTATTGGCTCAAGTACTGTTATGTTAAACTTATATTAAAGTTTTATTTCATTACCCATTCAAGCCGTCTCCAGCCATTATCTATATATGTTATGTTTTACTGTGTCGATACAAAATTATTTATATCTATAAAATAATCTCCCAAAATAATGTAGTTTTGAAGTATTCCAAGATTGTTTTAATTATATTAGAAACCTGGATGTTTTATGGATGAGATGTCAATATCAAAGTGACTTGGTTTATGCAATTATTCTTTTTTGGGGGGGGGGGTATTCCATTGTATTATGTATTATGGCTGATCTTTTCAGCATCTATGAGAGCTGAATTGATTATATCTAGAGAATAACTAATCTTAATCTTGAAAACCTGACAGTTCATCAACTACAGGGAAACTTAAGATGTTGAAACTGTGATTTGGCATTTTTAGTAGATATGTCATGACTGGAGTTGTAATCCAGAAAAGAATAAAAGACGGTAGGATTGTAATAGATGGATATTGAAATGACATTCGCTGTAGTTAAGATTAGAGTGGTATCAAGGAAGTTTACTGGATGATTTGCAACGTTGCTTTTGTAATGAAGAAACGGATTATGATTATTAACAAAATTGATGAAATTATACAGTTCTTCTGTGTTTTAAGTTGAAATTACAACTACATCATCAGTATAAAACAGGTATAGTTCCATCATAAGTTTGAAACATGTTGTACTCTATATAACTTACAAACAGATTGGCAAATAACAATCCCATCTTGGTACTCATGGCTGCACTTTTTATTTCTTTGTAAAATAAGTCACTGAAAGAGGAGGTATTTAATGTCAAAACCAGCTCAGCTAGGATTACTTGAGTGTATTTGATGGTTCTAACACTTGTTGCTGATTGATGTATAACCTCAAAGATTCAAGACCCTCATTATGTGGTGTAACAGTATACAAGGACTCAGTGTGAATAGTAATTGATTAGAAGTAGTTAGAAAAATTTCATTAAACACTAGAAGAACTTTGATGCTCTCTCTGATATAGGATGGAAGAGTATGCACTAAATATATCATGATTTCTTCTAAAAATCTAGTTGGTCAGTTACATCTAAAAAATGCTAATTATTAGTTTTTAGTCTCATATAAGTAATTATAAAACTTCCTCAAATTTTAATTAATTTTCTTCTATTATTAGTACTTTGTAAAAATATCTTTAAAATATTAAATAGAAATTCAAAAACAAGATACCACCCCAAAGGCTTTTACCCATAATATACGACTACTTTTATTATATACCCACGATAATTATAGCTCTGATGTATTTGATATGGTGTCTTTTCAGTGGTAGACCAGTGTGGCAAACTAGTTAATAAAAATATTTACTCCCCAGACCTATCTTATTTAATATTATTTTCCATGCTAACAAATCCACTAAATTTTAGTTCCCATCTTAAGCTCTTTAAAATCTCCCAGTTTTTCTAGCGCTGAAGACTACATAATTGCTAGTTTTGATATTGATTCATTCTTTAGAAATATTCCACTTCAGAAAACTATTCAGATCCGCCTAAACCATTTGCTCCCTAATAACGATGACTTGCACCTGGGGTAATAGCTTGAACAACTACTCAAAGAAACCATTACGAGTATTCATTTGGGACGGACTCTTACAAACCTATTTCTTTGTTACCATGAGCATCTGTGGCTAAATAATTGATACTTAATAGTATTCAAACTACGTTTATATACAAACCCAAGGCTATACCGGGATTGGACAAAATAATGGAATGCCTATTAGTTTGTATGTTTTATTTATTAATGTGGAGTTGGTCCTCCATAAGGAGACAATAAAGCATTATTACTATGAGAAATTGACGAAGCAAGATGTTGTGCATTGGACAATGATATTTTTACCATTCATCAACCAAATCTTCTTATCAATACATTGTATCATAGTACAATGCATTCTTCCTCTACATTTGTGGTGTGGTATAACCTGATGGTTAGGGTGCACATCGTGTTCTCGGAGAACGGGTCAAGTCGGATTATTTCTGTGTATGTGTGCTTTCGAGAGTATCGTATTTCGGTATCACGTAAATAGTCTAATAACACAAATGGTGATTTGTTGATTTATTTTAAGCGAGATTTCTAATTCAGTCTTTGACAGTAAAATAAACACAGAAAATAAATGAGAAATGTTTAACAGTTCAAATTCTGAAGATAAATACTTTGAAATTTGTGATCAACAATACTGAAAATGGGCACAACTAATCCACCCCACTGTTGACAACACTATGTTACGACTACATGTAACTCACGTGAAAACATTTTGGTGTGGCAATAGCAAATACATATACAGTACTTACCAGTTGTGTTAAATTGATGTTTGTTGTACACAGTTGCATGTTTTAATAATATTGTATGTTAAAACAGATAAGCTCTTTTTTTTCTTCTCATTTATTCTATGACAGATATGATTATTTTTGGTATGATGTTTTGGTCAGAAGTTTCTGTCACATTCCGAATGTTAACAATTACAATTTGCTATAACTACTTAGTATAAAGATGTACTTATTAGCGACGAAAGAATAAATTAAACAGGTGCTGTTGGTCTTTCAAACTATAACATTTTTAGTAAAATGCTAAATACAGTATATGTATAACATGCGTGTAAAAGTTCAAGTTGTTAACAAAGGATAACACTGGTAAGCATATGTAGTATTATAAGTTGCATTAAGCATAATATAAAACAAGAAAAAACGTTCAAACGAGATCTACTTCATACCATTTCTTTAGTACTGGAGCCACTGATTTATGAAAAAGCCTATGCCACAGCTGATATTAGGATATCCAACAAATTTAACATACAAATCCTCATATGTATGTGATTTTCGTTACCTGTCTTGAATTTCAACCTTATAAATTATTTTCATCAAATCGGAATGTAAATAAACTATTTTTGTCTCCAAAACTTGCATTAAAACACCTGAACCCATACTCTAGTTAATATACAAGTGTAGATATGGGTTTACAAGTTCGGCAGCCATCTAACCACATTAAGTAATAACCCCAACTAATACCATATCAAGTTTTACATAGACTTTCTTTGTAAATTATACCTTAAATTACTAAAATATTTTGTGTGAATGGTGACTTCAATTTTATATATTATAAGTACATATTTGTACAAACATAAAAATAAATAAATAAACCAGTACATCACCATAACATTATTAAGGGGAGTTACAATGCTCCCCTGGAAAACTGCCAAAATATTTATACAAAATTGTATGCATAACATAAGACAGGATAAAGATGAAAGACAAAGAAACAAATTCATTGTGTTTATAGCAAATCAGTAATAAAGGTCTCTAATTTTTTAACTGTATAATAGACTAAACGGAAGGAAGATAGTCAGTAGCACCCATCACAACATATGGCTTATTCTTATTGAATACTGGGATTTGATCATCACTCTTATAACGCCCCCAAGGCTCCAAATTACGGGGTGGAATTTTGTGGCAACAGGACACGAACTGCCGAACCTGCGATTTACAATCCAGCATGTTAAATGTTCGATAATCCCAGGCAAAGCTGTTTAACCACCATCGATATAAATCTTTAGTTAGATATAAGACACAGCAACTTTATATAAATATTGTAGTATATTCAGGTAAAACTGAGTGTGCCTGCTTAATATTTATTGGGGGTTCAATAAGATGTATCTTATAGAGCAATTATGAGTTCTCTGACTTTGAGAAAGAAAGAGACTGGACAAAAATATTTTTTACAAATTCATTTTAATTTGTTCTTTGCAGATTTAAAATCAGAGGTGTGTAAAAATAACATTTCAGGCTTATTTTTTGTCTCCCACAAGTCACTGCTCAAAACTTATTTCTTTCAATACCAAAACTCGTCAGTTAAGCTGGACAATGAGAGATAAAAGATTATGAGATGTTATTTATATATGCAATACATTACTTTAAAGTTATTGTTTAAATGCCAAAAGCTGGCAAAGTATTAGAAATCACTTCACCTAAAATTGTTGTTAGATATACACAACTGTTCATTTTCAGTTTAATACGAGATTATTATTTAGTTTATATTGTGTGAAAGTTAAAGTAAGTTATTTTCAGAAGCGATTGTTATGGAGATGTGCTTACATAACCGTTTAAGAATTATTTATGTAATTCAATTGCTGTGAACTGAATTCATGTCATTGAATAATTATATATATTGCTACACGTTAATTCTTGCATGTTCTATTATGTAGGAATGACGCAAATGCCATCCCTGCTATCTTGTTTGCATTGTTTTTACTTGTTTTTAATGCAGGGTTTCAATAGACATAGACATGTTGTATTAATGACCAAGTTCTAAATACAATGAGGTTGCAGCTTTAATATTTATCTGATAATGGCTGGTAATTCATGTTTCACTCCGTACTTAAGCTTTTCAAAGAAACAACAAAATTATGTAAGAAAGCTAACTTCAAAGGGTAATGATAACATCGTTACACTAGAATCATATTTTTTTTAATTACTACTAGTTATTAATAATACCTATAAAAGCGGATATTCCATTTGCAACTATTAAATGAAAATGTTAACGAGAGAAATATCAGCGTCTATAACTTGTTAGTAACGATTTTATACATCATTGATATACAAGTACTGTTACAACACAGAAACTGCTTTTAACTAGATGAAAGTTGTTTCTCGATTTTGCAAGTCATATTCATGGTGTCATAACACTTGGCGCCTCCTAGAAATAAATAAATACAATGATTACACATACAATTCAGGTTCGTTTGCAGTCGGGGAAAGATGCAGTCTAGTAAGGGAAAAGTAGACGATCGAGTAAGTATTATAACCTTTATTTCGTAATGATAAATTATATACCATCAACTTAGTTTTGGATAAATTATTTTTGGAAGCGGATTTTAATTTTAAATATTTTAAACAATTGTTTAATGCTTTCAGAAGATTAATAGCCAAGGTAGGAGTAAAAATGTGCGAGTTACAATAATATACAATGGGATATGCTAAATAATTATAAAAAAATCAGTGTAAATCATTCGAAATGAAAACCGCAAACATAATACATGTTTTTTTGCCGTGCTATAACGCAACTTCCTAGTATTAACGATATTACTTTTATTAATATTAACAATAGTAACTAAATAGTACTAATAGTGATTCTACTGGTACTGATCAGTGAAAAATATTTTATCTTTCTTTTCCTAAGTTTTAGTTTTAAAAAACAAAGTAATGTTTAATAGGAAGTTTAAATTGTTTGTAACTTAAGTGTTGCTCCTATAAATTCAAACCATAAGTTGCATTTTATAATGTAACCTAAATTGAACTGAAAAATAAAGTTTCGCTATTACAAATACATTTTCATATTATTTATTAGTATTTTGTGCTTTATAAGCTGGGGTTTCAGGTGCGTAATTCTTTTGTAATGCAAAAGCAACAATAATAAATATCATTGAATTTAGCCTTGCTCTGCTAACTTGTTAAATATTCGACTATATTTATATTCTTCGTGTGTAAGTTAATCTTTAACATTAAATGTTTCAATAAACTGTTTTAACTGGAGCCTAGATTGTCTTTTCCAAATATTAAACTTTTGTCCTCTCATCCTATTATCCTCGGAATACAGCATAAAAAAAAGGCAAGAGGCTTAATCCTACTGACCTCCTGGGCAATTTTGTAAACTTAAATCAGATCACTTCATATTCTTTTCTCAAGAGAAAATTCATTAAGAAACTTTTACTTATCCCTGTAAGATAATCCTTCCATCCCTGGAATTGTCCTAGGTGCCCTCCTTTGAACCCTTTCTAGTAAGTTAATATCCTTTCTTGGATAAGGAGACCAAATATCTACACAGTATTTTCAAGTAATACCTAATTAGTGATCTGTATAGAGATAATTACTTTATTTGAGTTGTAATCAATACATCTATAAATACACCCTAAAGTTCTAAGAAACAAAAACTGTTTGCTTAAAGCACATCTTGGGAGTTGTAAGATAAGCCAAAGGCTACTATTTTTGCATGACTGAAAATTATTGGGTAGCCATACACAAGAAATTAAAGATATTGTTTTAGTTTGGGTTCTAAGCATATCGTACATTGTTTAGTTTTATACAAAGTTTTTGAAATTCCGTCATGTGTGTTCAATATCAGGAACCCATCACTGAAGATCTTGATGTTCTATTAGCTTAATACTAACAAAAGAGCACTGTTTCAGTTTATCCATCACTATGTCAAGGTTCTTATTTACAGAGTTTGTTTCCATTTGTATTAAATGTGTGATTCAAATTATGATAATCCAAATACATTATCTTCCACATACTATAAAGATCATTTGCTAAGTATGTGTTTAATTTACCAACTGAGTCAAGTCATTCTGAAATACCTCAACATCTTCAATAGCTAGAAATACCAAAAAGTTTAATTTACTTTTATCTCAACACTAGCAAAACATCCAACCTAATTATGCAATAGTCACTCTTCCCTAAACGTTCCAGTACGTCAAAACTTGCAAACATATCCCCATTAATACTAAGTTAACAATAAATCTAAAATGGCATTTCCCTTCCCGGATGGCTTTCTGAACCACTTCGTGAAATATCTCTCCTTTACTACCTGACTTCATACAATCCTATTCAATGTGTCTAAAATTATCCCAAAATTATCACATCATTGTTCTTATTAGTAGCAACCACTATTTAATTTTACAATTTCTCATTTATACCTTCTGTTTCATCAGATGGGTATAACAATTGCACATTAAAAACTCTTTCCTTGTAACTCGTATATATTCCACCTCTTGATTTCCATTTCTATGTGTCTAGTTCTAACAGGCTCCAGTTAAAATAGAGAGCTATCCCACCATTTCTTTTAATAAGTCTATATCCACTAAATAACTTGTAACCTAGAGTTTCAAAGTAATTCCTATTATTCTCCAGATCTAACCAAATTTCAGTAATTCCCATTGTATCATAATCTCCCATTTCAACTAGAGCCCTGAACTCTTTCAATGCCCCTAATACATAACAAATATAAAATTTAAGAGCAATGAACTTGTTAGTCCATCTGGACAGTCCCATCCATTAAAACTTTAAAAAAAAAACCTTAAAGCCATCCCTTATCATTCAGATATTTATTAAGCCTTTCAATAAACTTCTTTCAGATTTTACTGTATCCATCACATCTGAAGGCAACCTATGCTAAAGGCCTATGTTAAAGCCATCCCTTATCATTCAGATATTTATTAAGCCTTTCAATAAACTTCTTTCAGATTTTACTGTATCCATCACATCTGAAGGCAACCTATGCTAAAGGCCAACTACTCTTTTAGAAAAATAACTATTAGCTAAAGATGACACCTACCCTGCCAAAATTTATACTTGTGTCCCATAGTCCTAACATTTTTATTAATTATTAAGTAGGAAAATATTTGCTGCATTTATACTATCAATTCCCTTAACAATCTTAAGCATCAAATAAAACAATTTTGGAGATTTTTAACTTGTCCTTGTGTGACAACCTTTCCATCCCATTCTAACAGCTTTCCTCTGAACCCTTTCAAAAATTCACTGCCCTTCCTTAAGTAAGGAGTCCATGACTGAACATAGTTCTTTAAATGTGGCCTAATTATAACCTCTTTAAACTTGTATTCAATATTTTTGTAGATGCAACCTAAAATCATATTTGCCTTACCACAAGCAACAGCACACTTCTTGTATGGCTTAACAGAGTGATCAACCACTACCCCATAATATTTTTCTTCCATAACACCACTAAGATTATTCCCATCAAAATTATACATATAATTCAAATTATGATAACCCACATGCATTACATTGCACTTATTATAATTAAAAGCTAATCTGCCATTTATTTGCCCAACATACCAAATGATATAAATATTTTTGTGAAGCAACAGCATCTTCATCATAGCCAGTAACATCCAAGACCTTAATATCATCTGCAAATTTTAAGTATGTTATTGATTATTCTTCTTTCATTTATAACTTTCTTAACTGGAGCCTAGCCTGTTTTTTTATATATATATTTTTTTTTTATCTAAACTGCTAGTTTAAGTCGAGTGATTCCACTAGTAGTGTAGATTTCACATAACATACTAATTGATCTAAGTTATTCTGTAGTTTCTTGACATCCTCAATAGCTAGAAATACCATCATGAAATTTTACTAATTATATCCCTATCAATATCATTAATGTAAATAATAAAAAGCCTAAGCACTTGTCCCTGAGGCACATCACTTGTAACAAAGGTTGTTTCACTGGGCTTCATTAATAACACTTTTTGCTTTTTTTTTACCCAGCCACCATAGAATCTGATCAACTAGTTTTATCCCTATCCAACTTTTTGCACCATATCCATCATCCAGATAAGCAACATCTTTAAAAAGTCAACCTTGTTAGTTCCCTTAAGTGAACCCCATGTTGGCTTTTTTACAATATCATATTTCACTAAATTATTTTAAAATTTTTCCTAAGTTTAGTGTACTTCATTACATTTTTAGGTGTTAGTGTTAAACTAATCTTTGTCATTCTGGCCTATTCAATAAGACTGTTAAGGTCTTTTTTGGAATAAAAGCAGTGTCAAGAAATGCATGTCTTATATATTAGCAATTTTAGAAATTCTGCTTCTCAAAAACCATCTAAGTCAGTTATTTAAATGAACAATAGGTCCTAAAACCAATAACTGTAATTATATTTTTTTGTGATTAATAACAAATGGTTGACATAATCTTTTCCTCTGCAAGGTGAATTAAAAGTTATTGATAAATTATTATCAACTTTGAAACGCTAGTGTAATCCATTAATCCAGTGAAGATATTCTCTGAATATTTGTCTTCATTCATTAGGAAAAATATCCAAACCATTTGCTGTATTATTAGCATATATTAAGTACTTGTTAAAGTATTACATCAATCTTATGCAAAATTTGTTTCTCATTTGTTAAGATCAGCATTTCTAAATTAATGTCATTAACAGAATTTGTATGTTGATGAAATTAAGTTTTTTAAAAATTTGGACATTAGTATCCTTAGGCTGGTTATTATGAAAGTTATATATAACTAACTTGAATGGTTTAATGGATTAGTGTGTGCTGGTAGTTTGGATTTTTGTTCAACAGTTTTATGGAGGTAAGAAATTACTTAATTAGGACTAGTTTCTTTGTTGGGTGACCTTAATAGGGTAAACAGCCTTCTTTCACCTAGTCTCATGTCCAAGTTAAACTGAATTGAAAGACTCATTAAATTATATTAAAGTATATACGTGAATAGACTTTTTAAGTCCTACTATGAGCAGTCTCTAAATGGATAATATTTTTTAGTCTACATAATGTAGCATGCCCTAGATCATTGTTGAGGATATTGTGGACAGAATGCTAGTCGTAGCATTTTCATTATCTTATAATTACTGTTACATAATTGTTTCAAGATTACCTTTAAAAAATTAGTGAAATGTACAAAGTAACATACTTAAATCCATTCTCCTAATTTTTTTACCTGCCAACATTTTCTGTTTAGGGCAAAGGAACTGACATGTGAAAATTATATTAATATTATTAGGCCTGCTTATTTGAAATTGGCATTCCCACAAATATATGTTGAATTATAGTCAAATTTTCAACATGTAAGATACTATTAACGTATGATATGATAACTTTGTTCTTCCAAAGAATATTTTTTCGTAAACTACGATTTCTGATAAGTCAATTTCTTAGTATAATAAATTTAAACTTAAAGTTAATTTAAGTTCACCGACTTAAACTTTAAAGTCTTAATACAGATTTAAAAAAAAACACCAGGAAAAT